CAGTAACAGCAACAACAACATCATCATCGTCGTCACCATCATCAGCAACATCAACAACATCAACAGCACTACCAACACCGCCAACACTATCAGCCTCATCATCATCATCAACAACAACAAAACCAACTGACAGCAACAGCAACAGCAACAGCAACGGCAACGGCAACAGCAACAGCAACAACAAACAAATATAATATCCACAAACCAATCGTCAGATTCGGGTCGCATGGAGAAAGCCGGGACGTTCCGGAAGGAAGCTCAGCGGAACGCGGTCGCCTGTCAGCTGTCTTGATCAGTTTGTTCATGTTTTTTTTTCAAAAGTCTAGGCTCCAAACAACCAAAGCCATCAACATGAACAGTCCCATTGAGGGCATCAGATAGTGCACCAACCAAATGTTATGTAGCCCCGAAGCTCAAGTTGTAGGTAAGTGGAGCTGTATATAGGGAGTGCCTTCACGATGAGGAATAAATAAACCCTAGCTAAACCCTGAATGTTAAACTCTTGAACCCTAAACTACACCCTGCAGTCCAAACTACAAGCCCCTAAGCTCCAAACCCATAAGCCTAGGACCCTAAACCTTTCCAGCAACCCGTCTTGTAACCGTTTTAGTAGCCCATATAGAACCCTCTTGGTAACCCTTATAGAACCCCAAGCCCTAAACCAAAAGAAAGAAAGGGTGAGCTTGACTGACCCGCCCTCCACCAGTGTGGGAGTTTAGAGTACAACTTAGGCTAGGGATTCAGGCTTAGGGTTTAGGTATGAGGACCCTTACAGCCAAAGCAACCCAGGTTACGGCTACTGCTCAAAATTCAAGCTCTTGCCTGCCCTCTTGCGATGAACCAGAAAGAAAAGAGGGGCGAGAAAGCCGAAACTCCGGACTTGGAGCCCAATACCCCTTAAATAAGGAAGCACACCTTAAATTACAGGGGCCTACTCGTTACAACTCCATGATCACATATTCTGTCTAAACACTGGATCTTCTGGCCCGTGAATGGGGGGGGGGGTGTTGATATGCTTGGAGAGGGCCCGATGCTCGATGCTCTGCATAAATCACAGGCTGCCCCTCTTCAGTATGTCAACCCGCTATCGCCACCTTTGTTAGGATTGTAAGATCATCTTGAAAGTTGTTCCTATTTAAAATTATTGCAATTGATGCGATCATTTGTGACATCATTAACCCAGAGAGCCTGCAAAGCAGATAGCCTTAATCACTCCTGATGTGAATGTGCTCAAAAAAAGATCCACGGAGTGCAAACTCACTGCAGTTTCTGCGAATCCTAAACCCGAAAACCCTGATACCCCTGCAGTCCTAACCCTGGAGCCCAAAAGCCTAGACGTTAGACCCGCATGGAACCGTTATAGAGCCCTAAACCCTAACTTTAGCCCCTAATCCCTAAGCCCCTAATCCCTAAGCCCATAAACGCGAAGCCCTGAACCCTGAGTCCGGCCTTGTGAGGCAAAGACTTCCAGGGAGGCGACGCCGGTGCGAAACCTGAGGCTTTAGGCTGTTTAGGTCTCTAGGGTTTAGGGGTTTAGGGTTTAGGCTCTATTAGGGTTTTGGTTTTGTTTTTAGGGCTCCAGGGCAGTTTAGGGCTTTAGGGTTCAGGGCTTAGGGCTTTAAGCTTTCTAGGGCTTTAGGGCTTTAGGGTTCAGGGCTTTAGGGCCTTAGGCTTTAGTGCTTTAGGTTTTAGCGCTTTAAGGTTTTAGGGTTTGGGCTTTAGGGTTTTAGGGTTTAGGGCAGTTTACGGGCTGCAGGGTTTAGAGCCAAGAGAAGGGGGTTTAGGGCTTTAGGGATCTAGGATTCAGGGCGTTCGTGGTTTACGGGTTCGGCTTGGACTTCTCAGCAGATGCGCTGGGCCAGAGTATCATCGGTAGTTGTATAGTATAGTATGACTTTCTGGCGGTGATGGTGGTAGTTGTGGTGGTAGTGGCGGTGGTGCGGCGACGATAGTGGGGATGATATCGGTGGTGGGGCGAAGCAACGATGGGCTGCAAACAATGTAGCAGAACCGTGTACGCAAATACATTTGTCAAGATGATACTTCGAAGGCTGTCCTACCAACAGCAAAAGCACCAACAGTGGCCGTCATTACCTGAGGAATTACCTGCTGAAGCTTTTGTTGCTTTCGACATCATAAAGGTTGACGAAGCCTTGCATGACAACCGGCATCGGCAAGCAACCAAATGTAGACTACGGTGTTAGCCAAACAGTTACGCAGTAGGTAAACCCTGAACCCCTAAACCCCTAAACCCTCAACCCTAAACCCAAAACCCTAAACCCAAAACCCTAAATCCAAAACCCTAAACCCTGCACCCAAAACCCTAAATCCAAAACCCTAAACCCTGCACCTGAACCCCTAAACAATTCGCTTCGATTGGAAGATGGAGGACTCGGAAGGGCAAGCTCCGGGCGGTTCCAGACAGTCACAACGAGTCACAACACGTCACAGCTTTTTGAATCCTAAAACCCTAAAATGTAGGGTTTAGGGCTTTAGGGTCTAGGGCTAACCCCTGAAACCCTAAAGCCCTAAAAGAAGCCATCAGGAAAAGACTGCACTGTCGGGGATTTGGCATTGGCTTACCTCAGGTTTTAAGCCCTGCATACCAGAAGCTTGCGGCTTCCATTGGCGAAAGTCATAACCCTGCAGTGAACCCAGACACAGATGCAGCCGCCAGGCCTTTCGAACCTTTCATTCCGGTTCCCGCCGAGGCTTCGTTGCCTCAGCTTTGGAATAGAGCTCGAAGTTGCCAAGCGAAGGGCTGCTTTGCAAATCCCAAGCGGTACTCCGACGGGTGTGTTGCGTCAACCTGGCAGTCTTAGTCCGAAGCCGGCATCTGGGTAGTTCTCTAAATTAGGCCCCCTTGTTGGGTACCCATTACAGTACGGCACCCTTATAAAAAGGGCACAATAAGGGACCCTAATTTAGAGAACTACCCATATCCTGAACTCTGCCCCCCTCAAGCCCTAAACCGCGAGCCCTGAACCCTGACCCATTACCTGAGCTTCATTCCCGTCGAGACCAAGTTCTAGGATCTGCCGGTCTGACTCGTCAGGAATTGAGGGGGCAGGATGCTTGGGAACCCGCAACATATCAAATGAACATAGAAGAACAACAGGCACTCCGCAACAGAAATGAAGGCCCCAAGCCAGAAGCCCGGCGACAAGACCCGAAGGCCTACAGAACAGAGTGAAGACTTGCGGTGATTAAACGCACCATCAACCCTGAACACCCCAAGCGACTTGAAGTTGAATTGCTATGAACCCTAAACATCCCCACACTCCAAATCCCAAGAGCCTCTTATCCAAGCCCCGAAAGATATAGAAGGAGCAACCATGATGAACCCCGGAGTGCTAGAGAGAACCCATCTCTGGAGCTCCAGATGCTTCTTTTTTTTACACTTGTCTGACAGACTTCACTCATCATCCTAGTTTGAGGGTTTAGGGTTTAGGGATTAGGGTTTAGGGGGGTTCTTCACCTTGATCCGTGCTGCTGACACCCCTCAAGAAAGCCGAAGCTCCGGGCTCACGATACTCACCGACACATGGGGGTAGGATCCTTATTATAAGGACCCCAAAACAAGGTACCCTAATTTTCGGATACTCACCGACATGCTTGGAGAGGCACCACGTGTTTCGGTCGCCAGAAGCCCAGTCGCTAACCCCGCTCCTGGACAGGATCAATCATTTTTATGGCTTACCCAGAGAACCCAATACCCCTTAATTAAGGAATATACCTGGGTATATTTCTTATTTGAGGGGTATTGGGCTCCCAGGGTAGGGATTCAGGATGGGAGCAGCGCCGGGACTAGAATGCAGGCACTCAAACTGAGTTGCCTTACTTATAACTCTACCTCCTAAGTCCCTTGATCCCTGAGTGGTGGTAGCAAAGCATTCGGGTTTACAAGTGGATCCGTGAGCAGGGTTTCGTAGGCCTTAAAAAGAGAAGAAGGTTTTTTGGGGGGTCGATAACAAAGCTATATGCAGATCATCAGGCAATAAACCGGACTGCATTCAAAGTCTTCACCCCCTTGCAGGATGCACCTGCAGGACACCCAGTGGACCAGCCACTTCAGCGTCGCCTTTCTGGGGCTCTCAAGCATTTCAGGGTTACGGGCGTTCGGCTTGCTCGACTAGATCCCCCCCAAAAAAAAACTCACGATCCCCCCCCTATACATGCTAACCCTACTTCCTTCAGCCCAGACACCTAAAACCCTACACCCAACATCCTGCACCCTGAATCCGCATGACTGAAGGGTTTAGGGTTTCAGGGTTTAGGCTTTCAGGGTTTAGGGTTTCAGGGTTTCAAAAGATCTCAGTATCCAACTTGGACAGGTTGATGGGTCGTCCGGCTGCAGTCGGTGATTTTGACCCCGGCTTTCTCCCCCCGAAGCCCCCCAAAAAGGGTTTAGGGTTTAGGGCTTGTAGGGTTATAGGGCGTAGGGTTTAGGGTTTTGGGCAAAAGCAGCAGACCCCTGAACAAACAAGTAAAAGCACGCACAACTCAGTATCCGAACTCGGATGATATGAGCGCAGCTACGTGCAGGCAACATCGGAAGTAGAAACTCCTGCAAAGCTCCACTACCCGTCCAAATACCTCTGTGCCCCGAAGTAGTTAACGCATGGCAGGACACGACATGCTGCGGTTCGTCACGGGTTAAACAATGCAGCAGTGCTTCCCCTTGAAACATTGCAGTGTACCTCGGGAATAGAAACCAACTTCTATGCCGAATGAACGGCGTGGAAACCGCTGTTATTGCACTTGGTTTGGTTGATGCTATTGTTCTTGCTATTGGTCGTGTTGTCGTTCTTATTGTTGTGGTTGTTGTTTGTGGTTGTTGCCTGAAGCCAATCAAATCTTTTTCAACTCGCAGTGTTACTGATGCAGCGGGCCGGTCGACATCAGAAATGCATCTCCACTTTGGAGCGCATCGACCTCACCATAGTAACCTTCAATGCTGCAAACAACATGGAAGCCACAGCGTCTGTACAGCCGTTGCGCACCATGGTTTTGAGTATGCACATGAAGCTCCACACTGCCGGCACCCGAGTTCCTGGCATCTGAAATGGCCTGCTTCATGAGACTTTCTGCCACCCCCCTCCCTCGGCACGTGGGAAGAACCGCCAAGCTAACGATGTAAGCTGCTTGGCCACGGCGCCTGCAACGACCTAGGTCCAAAATGAGATATCCAGCGAAGGAGCCTTCCAGCAGGGCCACAAGGGATCGCGAGGAGCTCAGGCAAATCAAACCTTCAAAGGTCTCGAGGGAGTAGGGCTCCATGAAGCAAATGCTCTCGACTGAAAGCACTGCCTGCATGTCTGCAGCAGTCATAGCCCTCACTTCGCAGCCATCGGGAGGTGCAAGTCGCCCAGAGGTCCCGATCTGCACTGGGCCTCCGAGCTGAATCTCCGTGTCGGGCTCTCGCAAAACTACCGGTGGCCCTTCAAAGGGGAGGTGTTTCAAAGCAGCTTTGGCTCGGCGGAGCAGTGTAGGCAGGGCTTCTTCGCCTTTCGCAGAGAACCGCAGCAACGGCGCCCCGGAACAGCAGAGGAAGCAACCAGAGCAGGCCAAGGACCCACAGCGAGTGCAAATTGCAACCGACTTGTCGTCTCTGGGTTGGCATCCTCGGATGCAAGGCACCTTGGGAGCGTGGCGAACGCCGCCAGGGACCTCCTCCGCTGTCTGCAAGCTTTCGGCCAAGCAGAAAGCCCGTGGAAGCTGCGCTGTGTCGGTGATGCGGCGCAGCACCACCAATGTGTGCGTGTCTCGATGTGACCACTCGGGAGATGCGCGTTGCGCAGGGCAGCCGCTGCGCAAGCAGCCAGCACAGAGGTCGAAGTCGGAGCACTCGATGCACTTGAAGCGCGTTCCCAGGAGCAGGGCCCCACAGCCATCACAAATGCAAGGGTGGAGTGCCTCACGCAGCTGTTTCACGGGAAGTCCGGCCGATGCCAACCGCAGTCTCTCAGCTTGCTTCGGGATCTTCAGGTCGAGGTTCATCATCTTTCCCACAAGTCGTTCCGAGTATCCAAGACGAAGAGATGGCTTCTTAATTAGGGCGTAGTAGGCTCACCGAACCCCTGCAATGGTAGCCATGATGAAACCCTCAACTCCCAGAAAGTGTCAGGTCTTGCTATACTCTGAAGTGGAGATGACCATAAGATCCACACTTAGATCAGTGAATTCGCGCTACCATAAACCGACAAACTCTCGAGAACTACCCTCAACAACCCTAAACCCTTTGGAGCTCGAACCCCTTGCGACTCCCACGGCTCTTCGATGCAACAGACAACCGGTCTAGGGCTTAGGGTTTAGGGCTTTGGGCTTCGGGTTTAGGTTTAGGGTTTAGGGCTTAGGGCTTCGGTTTTAGGGTTTAGGGTTTAGGGTTTTGGGTTTTAGGGTTTTAGGGTTTAGGGTTTGGAGTTTAGGGTTTTAGGGTTTATGGTTTAGGGTTTTAGGATTTGAGGGTTTAGGGTTTAGGGTGTCGTCTGCGGGTTTAGGGCTTGCAGGGCGCATGTTGTAGCTTGGTGGTTTCGGGGATGAGCCCTAAACCCTAAACCTTGAAACCCTAAAGCCTAAACCCTAAACCGGGTTTTAAGGGTGCGGCATGTCCCTAACCCCCCAGGTACCTACTGGGGCCCTAAAAAGTAGGTACCTGGAAGGTTAGGGTTCTTTTTATTTTGGAGGCCCTGAAACCCTAAGGGTGCCGCACTTTAACTTGGGGACCCAAAAAAAAGGGGGGGAATGCTGACTTTGAGCTGGCCTGGCCCTGCATGAAGAGGCTGAAAACGATACTGCAGAGAGCCCATGACACTAGAAAACCTAGGCTTCAAGGCCGCAACCCGAAAAATGCAGGGTTCAGGGCAGGGCTTACGGTTTAGGGTTTAGGGCTGAGTCTGAGGGTTCAGGGCTTGATTAGGCTTGAGGGTTTAGGGCCTAAAGCCTTGGGCTAAGGGTGGAGCGAAGCGATCCCCTGCAGCTCAGAGCACTGGTGAAAGCCTTCTTGAAAGAACGAGAGGCTGCACCCTAAACCCTAAACCCTAAACCCTTTCAAGAAGACAGGGATAAAGTTTCGATTCACCAGCTTCGCTTGGAGCGCGTTGCCCGGGACCTGTTCACAGAGCACACGGTGTGGGGTTTAGGGTGGAGGGGGAGTGGCTGGAGGCTGCTCAGACAGCCGGGCGTGGGGTTTTTGCACAAGGCCGACAGTGGCTTGCTAGTCCGAAGCGGCCTCGGGACAAGAAAGGAGCTACATGGAGCTACTGTAGGGGCCAAAATAATTACCTATACTATTTTGGGGGTTCCTTATTATAATTATAGTATAATGGGCCCCAAAGCCCTATTCTAATTATTAAGGCGCCTATAGTACCTTTTAGGGCTTAGAATTAGAAGGCTTAGGACAAAGACAAGATCTTTACTACGGCGACCACAAGTCCAGGGTGCGGGAGAAGGGCAGCAACCTCGGCAAGAAGCCCACCGAAGGGCAATGTATGTTTAGGGTTTAGGGTTTAGGGTTTAGAGTTTAAGGTTTAGGGTTTAGGGTTTAGGGGTTTAGGGGTTTAGGCGTTTAGGGGTTTAGGGGTTTTAGGGATGGATATCTAATGAAGATGCTGGCTGGAGGAGCACGAGGTCGCCTCCGCCTTTGGAGGGCTCGGGGTTCGAGGTTTAGGGCCTCACGTTTGGGACCAGTATCCAGGCTTTGAGAAAATCCTGTGAGACTACATAAAGGTTTATGGGCATTGCCCATCAGCATAGTAAAGAGTGAACCGTAATTCCCATGTTTTAGGTTAGGGTGTTGGAGGCATTTTTCGGAGTCTGCCAGGCTGACATATAACTACGTGATGCCACTCTCATGCAAGTCCTGCAGAGCTCTTATTGTCATAGTCATAACTAAGCACCGCGCCTCACAGGGCCAAGCCTGCACCTGCGATGTTGCTATGCCCCGAAATTCCTTGAAAGCGAAAATTGACGGATCATCCGCCCGTAAGCCCCTAAACCCTAAACAGAAACCCCTAAGCCAAGGTTAGGCAGAAAATAGACTAATAGTCTATCTCTCAAAAATACACTATTTAGAATACATATATATATATATCTATATCTATATATATATATATATAAATGGGATATAGTTTTTTTGCAAGCCGGGCGAGGTGCCCCTGCCGCCGATGGGCCAGATCGGTCCACCGCCTCCGGGTGTGTCACCTCCAGGTCTGCTGGCACGCAGGGGTGCAGTTTGATCATGTAGGGTTCAGGGTTCAGGGTTTAGGGTTTAGGGTTTTAGGCAAGGCAAGGGTCTGACGTAGATGTCGAATATTTAGCAGAGTTTCCCCATATCGCCTCGCTACCAGTGGAACATAACCTGAACTCTATTCTGTTGGGGTCAGGGTTCTGGGGTTGGAGGCTTTCTTTAGGTTTATATTATACATTTGAGGGTTTGAGTTCAGAATTTCCGAAGTAGGTAAAGGTAGAAGTCTTCACTCGCGGCGCTGAACGTAATTTCGGGGTCGGAATTCTATGCCCCCTTATCGTCAGTATGCACCAGTACAAAGTACAAAATACCTCGGAACTCTATTCTAACTATTTCATGTCCTTTCCTTGATGCCTGGAAGAGCCACAAATCTGCTTGAAGAATCGTTTCGGGTCGAGGAGTTGTTCAATTCCTGGCAGACCCTTCATCCGTAGCCCTGTACCATGGACCCTAAAAGCGCTGAACTGCCCCAAACCCCAAACCCCAACCCCATGAATAACACCCTCCTACACCCAAACCCCTAAACCCTAAACCCTAAACCCTAAACCCTAAACCCTAAACCCTCAACCCTAAACCCTAAACCCACCACCAGTCTCAGAGGCTTCATTGCCCCCGGGCCATGCAGAATTTCGGAACTTGGGGCCTCGAATAAGACAGAGGGCGAAGGTTTCGGTCGCCCGAAACCCGGAACCCATAAGTCCTAAGCTGATGAAGACGGAGCTTTTCGGCGATAACGGATGGTGGTGACTGTGTACTGATGGCGATGAAGAAGCAGATGATGATGATGAGGATGATGATGATGAGGATGAGGATGAGGATGAGGATGACAATGGTGATGATGATGATGATGATGATGATGATGACAATGATGATGGTGATGATGATGATGACGTTGACAACCAATTTCTTATGCGTTAGATGATGATCATGCTGAAGATACTCACACCGCTGCTGCTGATAGTGATGTTCATGGGTGACATGGTGACGAGCATGGCGTGGACGGTGTGCTTTTGAAGAAGCAGTTGTTGCACCCACCGGCAGTGACGATGAAGAGGAGGGCGATGTTGTTTTGGTTGATACATGGACGGTGATTGATGGCGGATTTTGTTGCTCCTGTTGCTGATGATACACCGAAAATCGCCACGACTTTCATCAACTTTCTCATCCTCCTAGTCCTGATTATCACACTCATGCTCACAGTATCTTCCTAAGCCTTAGACCCCAAACCCTAAACCCCGATAGAACACTGAGAGCCTTCACCTCCTGAGGTGCTAGTGCACCTTTCGCGGCTGCCGCGGTGGCCAACGGGCCAAAGGACGCATGCTGGCAGACAAGCATGTCCGTTCTTCTTTGAGTGATGGCAGCCGATGAAGATGTTCAGCATGGGCATAAGGAGCTGTAAGTGGTAAGATGAAGCCGCTGGTGGTGTTGAAGATGAAGATGAAGATGAAGGTGAAGGCAAAGACGTGTAAATATGATGGTTTTGATGGTTGATGGTGGTGTTGGTGCGTTGGTGTTGGTGCTGGTTTTGGTAATGATGTTGGTGCTGGAGTTGGAGTTGGAGTTGGAGTTGGTGTTGGTGTTGGTGATGATGATGATGATGATGACGATGGCATCTCGCTGCTGCCGTGTTCTCGCATCTAAAAGCTATAGACCCGCAAGTTTCGACAGCTTAGCGACTGTTACCCTTTGTACTTCCCTTATATCTTTTCAGTTGCAGGGATTCTGGGTGGTTGAGGGGTACAGAGCTTGAGGCTCGAGGTTTCGGGCTGAAAGGTTTGATCTTGCCCGGACTTGAAAAGGTTTAGGGTTTTGGGTTTAGGGTTTAGGGTTTAGGGTTCCTTCTAAAAGGACTTGAAAAGGGACCGTAACTTGGAGGACTGCCCATATGTTCCTTGGGGTTCGAGGTGGCTTACGGGGCAGTGCAGGGCTGTAGATTGCTTGACGACAGACTCAGTACCTCCAAGCAAGCCCGTATTCTGAAGAACCCCAAACCTACAAAACCCTAACCCCTAAACCCCTAAACCCCTAAAACCCCTAAACACCTAAACCCCTCAACCCCTAAACCCCTAAATCCCTAAACCCCTAAACGCCTAAATCCCTACACCCCTAAACCCCTAAACACCTAAACCCCTAAACCCCTAAACCCCTAAACCCCTAAACCCCTCGTCTTCTTCAGAGTTTGAGTTTCGGCGGAGGATCTCGAGGCCTTTAAACTCTACCCATAGGCCCCGTAAGTACTTCCTTTTGTGGTTTAGGGTTTAGGGTTTAGGGTTTAGGGTGTAAGGGTTTAGAGTTTAGGGTTTAGGGTGTAGGGTTTGGAGTTTAGGGTTTAGGGTTTAGGGTTTAGGGTTAGAATCCTATAAGGTAACCCCAAAAAGGAACTACTTAGGGGCCTATGGGATCCTATAAGGTAATCCCAAAGAGGAACTACTTAGGGGCCTATGGGATCCCATAAGGTAATCCCAAAGAGGAACTACTTAGGGGCCTATGGGATCCTATAAGGTAAACCGGTAAGCCCAAAAAGGAACTACTTAGTGGCCTATGGGCAAAGCCAAAGCCTCTTTCGAGGAGTTTGGCACGGGCGCGAGCCCACTGACCTCTTGGACAGGTGGATTGCAAGATTTATGCAGTTAGGGTCTAGGCCCAGGAACTATAAAAGGTTTTGGGATGAGGTGTAAGGTTTGGGGCATATGGATTTAGGATTTGGGGGCTAAGGTTTAGGGCTTTAGGGGTTAGGGCTTGGGCTTCAGCC